ACCTGCGGACCCGAGACTCGGGACCGCCCACCTCCACCGCCGCCACCGTCCAAGCAGCCCGCCCGACCAGAGAGACTGAACCCCAACAAAATCCCCACCCCCGACTTCCCGCGACCCGGGACAGCCCAACGCACACCGCCCACCGCCCCCGATGTCCAAGCTTTCAGGCCAACAAGTTAGACTTCACCCAAACAAAAGCCCCGCCCCCAAGACGGGAGACCTGGGCCCCCCCACCGCCGCCGCTGCAGTCCAAGCAGCCTGGCCGACTAGGGAGTCAGAACCCCAAAAATAACTCCCACGTCAGAGAGCCCAAGACCCGTGCTCGCCCATCGCCACAGCCGCCACCGCCGTCCATGCAGGCAGGCCGACCAGGGAGCATGAAATCCAAAAAAAGCCCACACCCCAGGGGCACGTACACCCTGGCCCGCCCTCCGCCGCTGCCGCCGCCATCGCCGAAGAAGCCAGGAGAACCAGGGAGCCTGAAACCTAAAAAAAGGCGCCTCCCGGGATCTGAGACACGGGACGCCCACCGTCCACCGCACACCGCTAACCGCCCACCGCCGCCACCAACAAACAGCGAGGCCGATCAGGGAGACTGAACCCCAAGAAAAGCCCCACCCCGGCTACCCGAGACACGGGACAGCCCACCGGCCCCACCGCCGCCTCCCCAGCAGCCAGTTCTACTGAGGAGCCTGAATCACAACAAAAGCCCTCCCCCCACCCGGGACTACAGACACAGGCCGCCCACCTTCCACCCGACACCGCCCACCGCCGCAGTTGTCCAAGCATGCAGGCCAACCAGGGAGCCTTCACCGAAACCAAAGCCCCGCCCCCAGGACCGGAGACCAGGGCACGCCCACCGCCGCCTTCATCGTCCAAGAACTGAGGCTGACCAGGGATCCTTCACCCCAAAAATATTCCCCACCCCACGGGGACCCGAGACTACCACGCCCCCACCGCCGCTGCCGCCGCCACTGTCTAAGCAGTCAGGCCGACCATGGAGCCTGAACACCTACAAAAGACCGGCCACCTGGGACCCTGACTCGGGCCGCCCATCACCGCCGCCGCCGCGATCCAAGCAGCCAGGATGATCAGGGAGGCTGAACCCTAATAAAATCACCCCCCCCCCGGGGATCCATGA